GTATTACTTTGGTAGTGTCAGTCGGCCGTGTATAAAACACAGTGTGCCATGTGCTGTGCAGTATAGATCAACTTGCCATGTGTGATGTGTAAGAGCTGTAGCAAAACGGCAAGCCTGTGCTCATGGAAGTGTACACATGGAACCCTATGGGCCCTGCCCCCATGGAACGGCAGGCTTCAGGGTAATGAACGGTTCTACTCGGATACAAGCACAGCTGGGCCGTAGAGCCGGCGGTGAGGCCAGGGTATGCAGCAAACTGAGGTCGCAGCAGTGCCCTGCTTGTCATCTTGAACCTTTCATTTTCTTCAGATGGGTGTCCAGAGGTCTAGTATTTGGAGGCATTCACTTAATACAAGGTTGTAAAACCACTGCCCTAGATGTGGTATAACAGGATATTCTTAAGTCCTACGTGAAGAGCATTCTAGAAGAGTATCTGTATATATGATTGTAGTATGTGTTTATAGATTTTTCTTCTGGTAGTGGGGTGATATACGATTTGTATTGTTCTATCTTCCTCCTGAAAATAATCTATACTTTTGTACCGAGAAAAATCCTATAATGGCCACAAAGCAGTTTCCAAAAGTGTTTCTAAGGCTTAGAGGTAGAAGGGCATAGTGGAGGTCATCTATTTATCCCCTTCTTAAATCCCACTGGGGCTTAGGCTGTAGTTTTGGACAGGCAAGTGCTGTCTGCCTGATTAGGTAGCTGTAGGGGGTGTGTTACATCTGGTCTATGGCTCTGCTGCCTTCTCCTCTTTTCCTTGGTGATGCTGTATTCTACCCAAGTCTTGACCCTCAGAGGGTGCCTATGTGTCTCATCCAATTTCGGGCTTGGGAAGAGCTTGGCATCAGGAACCTAGATGGACTGAGGGGAAGCCTGCTTAGCCTGCGTTCTTCCTGGCACATACTGTGCAGGCGCTGGAGGACTGCTAGGACCAACTGGAAGTTCAGGAAATTGTACCTCCTCTTGGTTTGAGTAATCCTGCTATTTGGTTCTGTAAATATGGGGATGACAGGGTGGAGGATGGACAGTTGCTGGGGGCCTGTAAGTCACTATGGAAACCCTCTTCCCCTTACTCTTAGTCTCAAATTTCCTTACCTTGGAATTTCTTTTTCTACCCTGTCCTAGGGATCTTTCTTTCATCAAAGTAATAAATGTGGGCCAGCGGTTTTTAGTTAACAGAGTCCAGGACTACATCCAGAGCAAGATTGTCTACTACCTCATGAATATCCACGTCCACCCTCGCACCATTTACCTTTGCCGGCATGGGGAGAGTGAATTCAATCTTTTGGGCAAGATAGGGGGCGACTCTGGCCTCTCACCACGAGGAAAACAGGTGAGTAGTTGGCCAGCAGGCTGGCTTTCTTAGGCTTAGAGGTAGAAGGGCATGGTGGAGGTCATCTATTTTATTCCCTTCTTAAATCCCACTGGGGCTTAGGTTATAGTTTCGGACAGGCAAGTGCTAAGTGTTTTCTTGCTCAGGGTCTCTACCTCATTTAAAATGTGGATAACTTGGATGCATTTTTGTTGTGATCATCCAGCCATCATATATTGGACACAGCCTGTGTTCGTGCCGTAGTAAAAGGCACTCCAGTTCCTGTTCACTTCCTCTAGGGTTTATATTTTCATCATGGCTAAACAGATTGCCCATTGTAGTGTCTGAGTTAGCTCTGTGTGTGTGTGTTTAATTTTTATTTTCAAACCCCAGTTTGCCCAGGCCCTAAGGAAGTTTCTGGAGGAACAAGAAATAGTGGACCTCAAAGTATGGACAAGCCAGTTGAAGAGGACAATCCAGACTGCTGAGTCTCTTGGAGTGACCTATGAGCAGTGGAAAATTCTGAATGAGATTGATGCTGTGAGTAGGAGACTCGGATCAGGCAGAAACTCAAAAATCATGAGTTGGACAGCTTTATCTAGAGAACTATCTGGAAGGACACCAAACCTGTGGTCATTTTGGGAGTTGAGAGAAGAAGTAGGGTCAGTTTCACCCACAGCCAGGACTTCCTGCCTGTGCCAGGGGTGAGACCCAAGTCCACTTCTAACCCAGCCACTCTGGCACCTGGGGAGAATAGGGCTAACAAGGACTTGTTTGTTCTTTTGTGTTATTTTCCTTATGGGAAAAACAAATAGCTAATTACTCAGTTCTTTAACTTCTGCTGAGATCATTTGGCCAGCTACTCTGGAAAAGTCCTTTCCTAAATTCTCTTCTCTATCCCTGAGAACAAAGCAGATGTTTCGTTTTCCTTTCTTGCTCTCTACCCCTTTATTGCTCCTACAAGATCTCTTTAGTTTCCCTTGTCACTGATTCCTGCTTCTCTTATGCTGCTAATGCTTCTTGGCCTTCAAGCTCTCCACAGTTTAGAAGAGAAATGGCAGCTTCAGCTAGGAAAGCTGCCTCTGCAGCCTCTGTGAGACACCCTAGCCATGGTCGTCCACAGAACATGAAGGGACCCAGCATTGGGTGTGGCATGTAGTAGGACAATAGTGTTCCCCATCTGCTGTTGGGGTGGGCCAGGTGGGCCAGTCTACCCCCCTGAAGCCAGTGTGGCTCCTTGCAGGGAGTGTGTGAGGAGATGACGTACGCAGAGATTGAGAAGCAGTATCCAGAGGAGTTTGCACTTCGAGATCAAGACAAGTACCTGTATCGATATCCTGGTGGGGAGGTCTGTCTTCCTTCACGTGAATACCCATTCCTTTGCTGGGGTGGGGGTTCGCTTTATTTTGATGGAGTGATGTGATTCTGGGGGTGGGTGTAGAAAGGCTGATCTAGGGATCATTGATCTTCCTACCTTTGAATCATGCTGTTTTTACTTCTGCAAAGGTGGTTAGATCAGGTCTTATTTATTTGGTAAGCTCTCTCACGAAAAGGGAGATAGAGATCTATGTGTTGAGAATGTTGTGGGATCAGAATGATCTTTTTACTGCTTTTTTTGTATTTGGCTTCCTCAGTCTCATCCTCACCCAAGCAGGTATTGCAGGTTCAAGGTAAAATTAAATAAAACAGGATGGCTGAGGTCCAGGAAGTTTTGGACATCTGTTGTGACCTTATGTTCTATTAATCTGTCAGAACCCCCTGCCCCCAGTGAAAACAGTGTTAGTTGAATTCAGACTTCCTTTTCTTGACCCTTGGCTTGCTTGGTCTTGAAATCTCAGTGTTCTTAGGGTACCACAATTAGGGCAGTTGGTAGGTGACACAGAGTCGCTGAACCTCCAGGAGGAAAGCCAGCTGGCAAAGAAGTGGCCTCTTGACTCTGGGACTCAGCTCCCCACTAGGCTAGCAGCTTGGAGGAGTGCCTGGCCTCCTCCTAGCCTGCCCTGCTTCCCCCAACAGTCATACCAGGACCTGGTGCAGCGGCTGGAGCCTGTCATCATGGAGCTGGAGCGGCAGGGCAATGTCCTTGTTATCTCCCACCAAGCTGTCATGCGCTGCCTTCTGGCCTACTTCTTGGATAAGGGTGCAGGTACTGTGGGAAGGGCTGAGGGACACATGCTTGTGATCTGGATGTGTAGCACCACGAATTCTGGCAGGTGGACCTCCCCCTCTGCTGCTCCAGTTAGAGTAAATCAGCAGCAGCCATGGTGGCAACTACTTGCTGAATTCACTGTCCTGCAACGCAGGCCACAGTGGACGGCGCTGCTTGATCCTGCTGGGAAAGGATCAGCTTTAGCTGGCACTCCTGATAGCACCAGCAAAGTGGTGAATAGTCACAGCTTGTCACACTGGTGACTGGGGAGGTGGCTTTTTAGAATCATCTTCCTCCTCTGGCTTGGGGTAAGGCAGTTGCTTCCCAGTAAAAGCAGTAAGGAAGTATGCTACTGCCTTCTCCTCTCCTTCCCCTTTCCATCTCCTTAGTTGCCAGCAGCCTGCAGAAGGACTGGTCCTTGAGTACTCGGGTGGGCTACGGTCCTCCCTCCCATGGGGCCCTGGCTCTAGCACTTACTCCTGTTTTGCCTTTAGGGAAAGGTCTGTAATGTTTTCATTTCTTTCCTGCTCAGTGGCTTGACAGTTGTCTGGGGCTCAGGACAGGAGCTGTGCAATGCTAGATGGTAGTCAGGGTAAAGAAACTGCTCATAAGAACCTCCAACTCTCTTCTGGATTAATTGTACTCTAATCCAGAGATAGCTCCCTTACCTGGTCCTTCTCTTTCAGATGAGCTGCCGTACTTGAGGTGCCCTCTCCATACCATCTTTAAACTTACTCCTGTGGCCTATGGTAACTATGAGCTCAGGGGCTGCCAGGTGGTTGGGACAGAGGAAGGTCAGAATGTCCCAGAGTTTTCTAGAAGCTTGATTTCGTAACCCCTGGAAACCATGGATTTGCCATTAGTGTCTTGCACTTTGAAGGAGATACATGTATATGTGTGTGTAGTTGGGAGTACATACACATCCTAATGGTAGGCTTCCCCTACTGAAACCAAGGAACTCTCTTCGATGAGCTTGTCCTGAAGGCTTCTCTTTCTTCTGTTTGTTCAGGGTGCAAAGTGGAAACAATTAACCTCAACGTGGAAGCTGTGAACACTCACCGTGATAAGCCAGCTGTAAGTGTTTGCCAACAGGCCAAAATGGCTGCTTTCTTCCTTGAGTCTGTGAGGCCTCTGGCCTCAGGAGACCTGAGGCTTCTTTTTTTCTTTGGCGGAACCGAGAACTAGAACTAGGGCCCTTGCACTTGCCAGGGAAGCACTTATTCTACTGAGCCATCTCCCCGGCCCCTGAGGCTTCTTTTATGTATGAAAGGAATACAAATCTAGGACTCGTGGACTTGATAGTCTGCTTGCTTGTAAGAGGAAAAGATGAGAAAATTATTAGTTTTTTAAGTTAGTGTTTCTTTAATGAACATTAACCTTAGGTGGCTCCTGGAAATTCAGTTAAATATGAACAGTGTTGGGCAGAAGGGAAACGCAGGTTCCTTCTCATCCATAAGGTCCAGATGAGCCTGCCAGGACAGGTGATGCCTTGGGCTGTCCCTGGTAACCTGTGTGGGCCTCCAGAGTGGAGCCCTTTCCTGTGGGCCCCATTTCTGCTCTGGAGTGTTACACTCATGAGGGTCCCAGCCTGTTACATCTGTCTTAGCCCCCGGGGATGAGGAGCTCAGCCCTATCTATGTGTAGAGAGCAGGAGGAAGGAAGCTGTTGTGGTCACAAGCATTGTTTAACTTAACAAGCGAGCTTTTGGCACAGTTTTCATGTGTGTGTGGTGTCCCTCCATTTCCAATCAGAACAACTTCCCCAAGAACCAAACCCCTATAAGGATGAGAAGGAACAGCTTTACACCTCTGTCCAGTTCGAATACAATAAGGCGTCCAAGAAATTACAGTGTTGGGAGCCGGCCCCTCAAGCCCCTCAGCCCTCTCCATGCCCTGGACATGCAAGATGGGGCCGACCAGCCGAAGACCCAAGTCAGCATCCCGGTGGTGTAACCGTGTGTGTCCCTCCTGTCCTTGCTACTAATCACCAAGGAGTCACTTACCCCCACCAACCCCCTACCCTCAACAACTCACCATGAACCTTACCACAGAGTATGAGGTGCTGTGTGCGTAGACCAACTAGGTCCTGTCCAGTTTAAAACATTTCTTTACCCAGGAGCAAGCAGACCAGTTGGATATTTTAGCACTGATACCCAGAGGGAGCAGGATGGAGGAGGAAGGAAAGGATATGTGCTGCCCATATGCAGTTGCTCTTCTCTCTGTTCCCTGGTGTCTGAACTCACTAATACTTGGTTTATGGTGATGAGTGGAGAGAGACATCATGACCCATATGTCCTTCACCTTTGTCTCTTTAATGTGTGTTTCACTCACTTGGCTTTCTTCCATCTTGTCTTTGCTTTATCCTGTGGAACACTTGGTATTGTATCTAAGAAGAAAGGGGGGTTGGTGGGGAGAAGTCTAGGCCCTCTGCTGCCTCCTTCAGTGGACTTGTGTGGATCTGGACTTGGGGAGTCTTTCTTTTCCCATCTGACACCCCTCCTCTGCAGCCAGCTTCTGCAAGGGTCACACAGGCTGCAGAACATCCACAGTGTGCTCTGGAGCTTGCGAGTGGCCAGAGCATGCTGGTTCTCGCCTTTCTTCATGAAAAACGATCCTGAGTTTTTGATACCATATGGGTAGCTGGCTCTGAGGATGTGGGAAATGTCTTGGTCTATTTTGAACTTGAAGAGCCACGTGTACAGTGCTCTTTTGTTGGCCGTGAAGTAGGTAGCTTCTAGTTTTTGCAGGGCTCTCCACTCAGAGTCAGATCTTTCACCCACAGTTTGGTCCTTTGCCAGTCACTGCAAGTTCCCTGCCAAAGCCAATGACCTCAGGGGCTTTTAGGAGGATGGAATCAGATCTAGGACTCACCACTAATGCCTGAACACCTGGAAGCAAAAGGTAGAGCAAAGTTCACTGCACCTGCTAATTATTTTCCAGTGGTTTTCAGCATACCCCCCCCAACATTAATTTTTTTTGACATGAACAAGTATTTTTTTCTACAAACATGGTAAGCTTTGAATTTAATCTCTCTTGTTGAGCTGTTCTTTATGAATATGGAGAAAGTCTCATCATAAATGTGCTGAGGAGTGCCATGGAGTCTGCTCATGACTTCGTGTTATCTATTCACTTGTCATCTCGTGTCCTTCATAGGGTTAACAGGACTTGTGCCTAGAAAGACTTTTTAACCCCTTGGTGGCCCATGATGGCTTCCCATTTCTCTCAATTTTGTATACAACATTTTTTAATGAACATATTTATTTTATTTAATTTATTATTTTTTTGTGGCAGGCTCAACCCACCCTGGGGGCAGAGTTGGTGTGGCATGTGGTACTGGGGATCAAACCACGGGCCCTGCGCTTTGTCTAAGCTTGCCTAAGCAGGTGCTTTAGACCGCTGAGCTATCTCACAGGCCCTGAACAT